AGAAACACATAAGTCTTCTTCTGGAAACGCGAATTGTCGAACGCATCAAATATCCGCCCTAGAGGTAGTTTTAATACATTTAAAATGCATAATATAAAATTACAATTTCCTCGATGGTGATTGGTTTAAAAACTCCTTTTTCCAACACTAATTCACACGAATTGTCGAACGCATCAAAACATCCGCCCTCGAGCTAATGCTTTATTTATCAAGATGCCCATGTGATCTTGTAATCGATGAAGCCATGAAAAAGGCTACCGACGGATATCAAATCTTGATAGTTTTATGACAAAGGCTCTTAATGAGTTTAGGTCTTTGGAAATCTTTGACGAAACCGCCAGAGTTAATCTGATGCATGAAAATAAAATCAAAATACAACTAACCCCTGTAGGTGAAATTTTACCGATAGGAAATTATTTCAATGAAAACGAAGATCACTTACAACGGCTTTTGCTTTCTTATATGAAAATAATACTTTTTTGCAAATAAACTTTTTTTTTTTAAACTTTATTGGCGATTCCCCTCCACACACTGTTATCAAAACAGTTATTTGAAACGGAGAGTGCTGATATCAATTTTTTGTAATCTTATTACTTGCACGTTTTTTAGTGAGTAAAGTTATTTCCCACAGCAAAGTGGGAGTTACAAGGAACTCATTTAAAGTCTCCACTTTAAATGAATTAAGGTAAGGTAAAGTAAAGGGCAGTTAAAAATAACACTGTATCTTAAAATTAAGAATAAGGCAAATAACGCAGCTAGTGAATAGATAAAGTAATCATTCAATCGCTCGATGAATTTTATTTAATACAAGCAAAACTTGGTTTTGATGACAGGGCTTGAGCAGAAAATTCTTGAGCAAGGGGGGAGGGGGCTATTGACAAACAGATAGGCTCCAGCCAGGGGGGAGGATAGGGGCATGCTTTGCAGGACAAGTGTTTTTTAAAATTGGGGGGGGGGTAGGGCTAAAGCCCTCCTTCTCGTCCCTCCCTCTGCACGGTCCCTATTTGAGAAGTATTTTGATAAGCGAAGCGTAAAGAATGAAGCACTGTTGAAGTCAAACGGGCTTAGTGCAGTAAAGGTACCTATAAGAGTTGTGTTCCTGTTGAAATACGAACGCCATAGATTGTAACAATTTTGTGGACAGGAAAGAACATGAAGGCACATGTAAAAAATTCAAAGAAAGGAGTGTAGAAGGATGGCGTAGGATAATCGCCCTTTTTCGGAGAGGAGGCGGTGAGATGTGAGCGCGCAGGGAGAGAATGGAAGAAAATTAGTAAGCGATTTATAAAATAAGAATAAGTAAGAATAATTCCTGACGTCGTTCAAGTCTAAATTCCTTTCAAAGTCCGCCATCTTCGCATTTCTTCTGAAGTATTTTTAACGATGAATCGTTCACCTTGCAGGCTTTAGCATAACGAAGTTCGAGGCTCTAAATGTAAGAAGCGTCCAATGCAGTCGTTTAACTCCGCCAGTGCATTGTTGTTGTGGCGCACGTTAAAGTGACAGCTGTTGCACCAAGCAATCCTCTAACAAGTATTCATGTTACATTGCGGGCTCGCTGATATCAGTCAGCGTTTTTTTATTTGCTAGACTTACGTCGATAAACATTGGCTGCAAACCGCTGTACTGATTAACAATGGCATCAAATAACAGCCGGCTAAACAATGAGTACGCGGACCAATAACTCTCCGTATATCACTAGCTCAGACTCTAAAGTACAGTTGAGTTTTACACGGTTTGAGTGCAAAAAATTGGATGAAAATACAGAAGGACAACATGAGTGAGTCGTTCATTTTCTGACAACAGCTACTTGTGTCAACATGGCTGCAAACGACACATTCACAAACACAAATCTCTCCACCACGAATCAACACATGTCAGTGTTTTTGTGCCCTGAACGTTTAAACCCCAACACGGATCTAAACAATACAACTTTCTCTTGGATATTAGTGGCCATAATATTCATTACCTGTCCTTTTACCGTTCTCTTCAATTCCTTGGTGATTGTTGCTTTGAAGAAAAGAAGAGAACTGGAAAAACGTTCAAATATTTTGTTATGCAGCATGGCCGTCACAGATCTCCTAACAGGAGCTATAACTATGCCGCTTTCTGCCACTTTCGATGTGTTGATATTAAGCCAGGTTCCATATGAGTACATCTGTCCAATAAATTTCTTGGCAAACAAACCAATGATCTTTTCACTGTCCATGTCATCGTTATACCACTTAACTGCCATTGCGTGGGAGAGGAAAACGGCCGTAAAGAGCTGGATAAAATATAGGAACAATGTTACAGAAAGGCGTCTTACGGGACTTGCGATAGCTGTCTGGCTGTTCGTAGTTGTCATACAGGGTCCAACAATTCTAATACAGGTGGCTGATGAAGATGGCAAATTTCTTTCATTGTGGCTAGTGGGAAAAATTGTTTCGATGGTTAGCTGCTTGGCCGCCATTGGCTATTTCTATTCCATAATTTTCCTGGAAGTGCGGAAACGTGACCGAAATCAAATCAACCAAGTTGCCTTTTTAGCCAAAACTAAACTCGAAAGTAAGGTGGCCAAAACAACAGCTATGATAACCGTAGCAATAGTACTATCCTTCGTTCCATTCGTTAGTACAGCCATTTTGGTAATTTTTTTCCCCGCTTTCCGTACATATCCTGTTTACCGCTTCGCAGAAACGGTGGTGCAGTTTAATTCTTTAGTAAGTCCTATCATAAACTCATACAGAGACAAACGTTTCCGAAACACTATCCTAGAGCTCTTAGGCGTCAAGAAATCGCAACAACGACTTGACGGCCGAAGAAATTTAAGAAGACGAGAATCCGTAGGATTGATAAATCTAGCAGGAAAAACAAAGGGAACCCTAGCTCCATTCTTGAAAAGATCAGCTTCGGTTGAGCCTCCTAGAAATCCAAAGATGCAACTGAGACGATCTCTGTCCCATCCCACGCTGACCAAATGTGACAAAACGAGCATTGCCCAGTCTAGTAAATTAGAGTTACAGCAACGCACTACCATTTCCATGACAAGCGCCGCAATCCACCACGAAAGATCGAAGTCTCATGGAAAGCGAAAAAGTCAAAGGAGAATTCATGCCGCTCTGTCAATTGCACGGCAAACCAGTGTGGTATCGCCCAAAGGAATGGTGAATCCTAGCCGTGTATTGAGTTCCAAATCTAGAGTTAAAAGAGCTAAAGGAAACATTTCCAACAGCCGGCAGAAAAGCCAATTAAAGGAAACAACACGACGACCGAAAACAGTGCCATCAAACGTCATCCATCCGAATGAAAAATCAACTCAACACAAGGTCTCGAAGAAATCGGTTATCAATTACTCAGAATGTCCTTTCTGAAGTAACAAGCTATTAACACGTCAGAAACATTAACCATCACCTTCATAGAAAAAAAACGGTGCAAGAGGGACGTATAAGACTCGAACAGCTTTTCTTTCCGATTTCTTTATTCGGTATTTTGTACTCGATGTTTTTTTATTTGTTTGATCGTCTTGAAATGGCGCTGCGAACTAGGTCTTTTAGTTTTTTTGCGTTTAGGGAAACTTTAAATTTTTGCGTAGTGGCAAGATGAGGTTGGAATCATAAATACGGTGATATTCTTGAGAATATACTCGCTTCGTTTGCACAATTTTACTCGGTTAGGAAAGAACGTGGTATGACAAAAAATTGCCTCAGGAAACGGTTGACGAGCACCTGAACTGTAACATTAGTGGTGCTTTGACAAATACAGAACTATATGTAAATGTAGCGGGCTGATCGAGTGAAAACATCATTTTCTATAATATGGAGGTACGAAGCAATGATGATACAGATAAAGTTGTATGAGAAATAAATCATTTGATTCATTTTAATCACCATTTAAAGAATTGGGAAACACCGAGGATTAAAGCTAAAAATGTTATTTTGACAGCCAAGTCACCTTGGAAATAATTTTCATGCTCCATTTTGCTTTCATATTTTTCTAATGTTTTGAGCTTCATATATTGCCTAGCAACATATTGACAGATTCACTCCAAAGAGCTCTACACGCTTATCATTCAACAAATTAACACTACAGTGAATCATTCTTAGAGTTACCGCAGATAAAGTGTCAGGAAATGAACTTTTTCGTTCATTAACATGAGAAGGTTATCTGAACTCTAATTCCAGCTGGTATTTATGAAAAAAAAAATTCGTTTCGACATCTTAAAAAAAGTTTCAAATTTAAAGTTAGTAATGGTTCATCTTTAGTCTTAAATTGGTTCAACTGCATGCCGCGTGGGAATCAGTGGAAATGATTCTTATGTACTATTATGTTCCCTGGATTCATTTGTTCCTGAATAGTGGGAAATGTAAAACAAAAGCTTTGGAAAGAGTCTTTTTTTGAACATCTGTAGTTTCGGTTTGTTCTACCTGTTCATGTTGATCGTCCCACATCTTTCGTGACACGACGGCGCAAACAGGAACAGGTATCAAACCAGTTGAGTGGTTTCCCCTGTAAGACTACAGCGCCGAAGCGTTGAAATGGAAAAGAAAGGCATAAGTCTTCTGGAAAACGCGAATTGTCGAACGCATCAAAATATCCGCCCTTGAGGTAGTTTTTTATGCATTTAAAATGCATCACATAAAATTACAGATTCCTCGATGGTGATTGGTTTAAAAACTCCTTTTTTTTTACACTAATTCACCCGCCAAGTTCAGTTGTTATCGGACAGTTTGTTATGGGACAGATGAGTTATCTATGGGACAGTTTGTTATCAGACAGTTTAATACGCCAACCACATTAAAGTTGCAGTTAAAATCAACCAATCACATCCATTTTGATTGTGGTCAATGTCAGAGCGACATCACACAATGTGCGCCTCCTTTGCGTCTTTTAATTCAAATTTATTTTCCCTTTCTTTCATATCTTGGTTATTCTTCTTTTCACGGAAATTGTAATTTTCATGATTAATTGGTAATAAGACTTTGTGTCGTCCAATTCGGTCTGTAATCCCTAGTCGAATTAGACTCCAAGCAGTCCTATTATCATTGCAAATCCTAAGATAAAAATTGTTTACTAATACCTAAACTTAAAAGCTCTGCCGAAAAATTAGATTGAAAAAAAGCGAAAGAGCGCAGCGAATGGAACATTCTGTTTAAGAATAAAACTTAAAACAGTCAGTAATTGCACGATCTCTGGAATGAAGTTTTACCTACAAGTTTCAGGAATTTAATGGGACTCGAACAATTCAAATTACTTATAGATCTTAGAGGCCATTGTATTTATCATTTCCACTTTTACCGGGCAACATGACTAAAAGTATTGAGTGACTAGACTCCGCTTTCGAGCGACAGTATCGAGCGACCTGACTCCGGTTTTGGGCGACATGACTTTAGGCGAGATGACTCTTGGGTTACTAGACCGGCGACCATTAATACTGAACTAGGCTTCGTTTTTGTATGCTTCCTGCAGTGAGTATGTCGGAGTAATACAATAAAGTCTATATTAGGAACATTATAAGCAATTCACGAAAGGGTAAATACTGTAGACAAATCGAAATTTGTAGTTTTTACATACAACATATTTTGACATCATTCAGTTGCTTTGTACAAGAGTCTGCTAGCCTGTTTGCGGCATACGTGGGAAAGGCAGAAGTACAATAATTGCGAATTAAGCCATCATCTTTCAGTCCTCATAGCTTCCTTCAAGATTCAGAGTCTGTGTAATTCAATACAAACATACTCCATGGTAATACAGATAGCCACAGAATGACACTAATCTTTGACCCCTTCATTTGCCAAAAATAACATCTTCCCTCTATGACTGTAGGTGTAAAATGAAGGCCGGTTGCCAAATGATTCCCAGCTCCTGAAAATAAGGTGAAATCACAGAAAATGGTAACGTTCAAACTTCAATGACATTATAACTGAACAACAAGCAGGAGCTTGGAGGAGAGTGAAAATTTCTCCCCACTTCTCACTCCAAATAAAAATTTTCACGATCAAAAAGCAAATTTTTCTAATTCCTAATTGAGAGACCATCTATTTCTTTGCTGGCTCTTGAGGAAAATTAATATTTACAATACGACAATATCCAAGGTGTGAAAATTTTCTCTCTTTCTAAGTCTTGACAGCACTTGACTGATTAACAACTGAAAATTCTCAGGGGAATTTATCAAATGACTAAAGATAGGAAGCAGCTCACACTAGTGATTTGCCACAAAAATTTGCTTGTAAAATGCAGTGGTTTAATTGCACAGAGGTACAAAAAGCAAGCTGTCTGATTCTGTCAAAGCTTACTGGATTGTATAATATACATGGAGTATGGATACCACACCATTAACCCTTTAAATCCTAGGAGTGCCTAGCATCTAATTTCTCCCTAAGATATCACCACTGAATCACACAGTGATGTCATGAGAATAAAGGAAATGATCACCAACAAAAGAACCTTTTTTATTGGTAAACAAATTCTCCTTGTCTGCATCTTAAAAATGTATAAAGAACAGTTTGGAGAATATGCATACTGATGTTAGGGTGTTGAGTTAAAGAATTCAGAAATTCCTTCTGCACAAGTTCATTTGCTTTTATAAATGCACCAATCCAACTTTCTGACATGTACAATGTAACAAATTTTGGACTCACTTGTTGGCCATCTCTGCAGCTGCTCTAATTTCTTTAAATTCTCCAGCCATATGAGCCACACCCAAACAGCCTATGATCAGCCCTACAATGCACTGAATGCAAACCTGCAAAAATGACAGAAGTTATTAACCCTTTAAATCCCAGAAGTGATGAAACTGTAACTCCTTCCTATAATATTCATGCATCATCCTACAAACAGGTATTGGGAAACCACCAAGTTATCAGGTAGAAGTTGTTCTCTTGATCTGACACTAAATTCTCATTAATGATTTACAAGCAAATGTGTAGCAGCTAGAGGGGAGAATTAACAATCAGACCTTGAGAGTTCGAGGGCTGAAAGGCTGGAGAACAATAACAACTAGGTTAGTAATTATGTATTCATGTATATTTTATTGACCACTCCTCATATGGGGCTCTTCAGGGCCAATACGAACAAATTGAAACATTTTGAAGAAACATGGTGTTTAACCCTTGAACTCTCAAGATCTAATTGCTCATTCTCCCCTCTAGCTGCTACATATTTCCGTGTAAATTAGTTATGTGTATTTGGTGTTAGATCAAGATAACAGCCTCTAACTGATAGGTTTGAGTGTTCCATTACCTGTTTGCTGGATAGTATACAGATCTTACAGGGAGAAGTAACATGTTAATCGCTTTTGGCAGTTAAAGGGTTAAAAATTTCTGGTGGCAGGAGGCAGACCAGTTGGCTACATTGTAAATAAAGGTACATCCAAGGAGTTGAACTCAGGACAACTGAAAACAAATCCAGTAAGAAGCAGAGCAGAGGGCTTAAACCTAAGACCACTAGTTTACCAGCTTAGAATTTGTATTGGGGCAACAAAGTTCCATTGTTGGGTAATACAAGTGTTTCTAAAGCAAATGAATAAAGGGAGAAAGTTTCTAAAGAAACTGAAGTGCTGTGTCAGTAGGAGAGTATACCAGGGTAATTTAGTACTATCAACTGAGTTGATAACATAAATTGGCCACACTTGAGAGGTTTAAAGCTGACATTTTGAGCATAAGCCCTACATCAGAGCAAATGGAGGAATTGAGGGAGAAAATGGAGTTATGCTATTGGTAGGAACATGGTAACAAAAAAAACAAAAACAAAAAAAAACCCAAGAATAAATAAGTTGATATATACACTTGCTAAAACAGGCTTTACTTACATCAGGAGGCAGGCCAGGAAATTCTTCTTCCAGCAACTTGTAATAAGTTCGACCTGAAAAATCAAAACATTTAACTCTCACACTAAAAGTTTTACCTACAGTTACTTTGCTGTCTGCTACAGAGTAAATTTGATAGTGGAGTGGTTGAAAAACAGCATTACCATTTGTTAACCTGTGAAGCATTATATTTAACATCAAAGGAACAATTTCTTTTTAAGTTATTATTTGAGAGTCACTGTGCATACTTATGTTGAATGTTTTGAACATACATTTTCAGGAGGTCATTCATCACCTGAACTACTATTTTTTCAATTATGTTGAGCCATGTCAAGGGAAACTTTGTCAACACCTTTTCAATAAGAATTTAAAGTACCTAAGGTACCCTTTTTTGCAGTTTGTATGCTCAGTAAATTTAGTGGCCCTTTTTGCCATAAGTAACTGATTCAAACAGTAAAATTCTTTCTTATCAAAGAAAGAAAATTCCCTCAAAGCCTCCATGATAGGCTGATCATATCTATTGAGATATTTCTGCAGGGGAAATTTTTGATTTAAATCATGCATTGGTGGATCCCACTGTCAAATTATTTTGAGGTGCTTATTGTCTTTTGCAGTGTCACAGCAAGAACTGAAAAAGATTATATCTTCAGATCTACATAATTGGCTGATTTAAGTGATAAAATGCTCTTTCTTTAAAGAAAAAATATTCCTTAAAGTTTCGTGATGAGAAGATCACACCTATCAAGATATTTCTGCAAGGAAACTTTTGTTTTTAATTACACCCAAACCTGAATTGATAGTAAGATGTTTATCTTTTTCTGCTGATTTGTAGACATGTAGTGTCACCACAAGAATAGAACACACACATGTACATGTAAGGTACTGGTGTCTATACAGTAAGCTACAAATCACAAAAGGAGAGAACTCAACTGAGCATCAAGTGAGAATATAGAACTACCAAGATACTTCAAAGCAAACAATAAGTAGCACTGGGAAACATCAGGTCAAAATTGGGTCAAGATTTGAATTCTATCTTTACACTCACTCACGCACTTGTCTCAATGACATACATGTACAAGTATGTGGCTTTACCTTCTTTGCCTCCTACAGGAGGCTGTAGCCATGAAAAACTATGAATAAAAATTGTTGGCTAGAATTGCTCAGTTAGCTTAACAATACTTTGAACAACCCAGCACAGGGCTTTACAAAGACACCTGATAAAAATAATTTTTCTTTTTTTTTCTTTTTACCCTACATGTACAAGCCCAAAAAACCATATGTATGCTTTCCTCACATGCATTCAACTTTAATTCTGAGTAATTCCCACAAGTGCTGATTAAAACTAGTCCAGACCCAACGCTTACAGCACCCAAAGAGCAAAAGCAAGTATTTTATAGTTCCACCTGCAATCAAGAATTCATTATCATGTGGGTAAAAGTTACTGTGTACATCAGGTTACATGTCCCACAATACTGCATGCAGGGGTTGAAATGCATGATGAGTGAACTTCAAAACTTTTAATCATAAAATTATGAAAATATACCAGTGAAAAATAACTACTATTTTTTTTTTCTCGATTAGTTGATATGTTAGGGTTAAAGTTGCCCAAAGTTACCTATCAGGGAGAGTGAGAGCAATTAATTAAGAATGTCACATCACGTTTTTTGTGTGTTGTCTCCGCCTGAACTGGTCTTTTAAGGGTTAGTACTAAAACTTTGATTATTTAGTCAAAATAATAGTCAAATGAACTAATCAAAGAATTTTGAAGAACCAGAACTGGGGGGAGAAAAAGCTGAAATTTGTGTGGCTGATCAACATGACCGCGGTAATTGCCTGTCTCATAAAACACATGAAACACATAGAAAACACATCGAAGACCATCAATGGTACCAATACTTACATTGAACTGCTGAGTAACCGGCATGCAATATAGCAGCCAGGCCAAAAAAGACTAAAATACGACCAATGATTCCCATATTAAACTCATCGACGTGAGCACGATTCTAAACTCTGACCGCCATTTTTCCTTCAGACACCGACTCACCTGCCCATTCATGTACTTATCATCAAATTTCGCTTACTGAAGCTACCGCTGATAAGACAAGCCTGCGTTCCAAAGATGGCCCCTCCGCGCGTAACAACTAAGAAGAAGGATGACTCGAAAGATAATTCAGTGTCCTATGAAGGGGATTTCTTTCAGTTCTCTCCGTTGTTTATAAGCATAATAATAATATTTCTTATGATCTTTTACTGGGTGAGTGTCGATTCTTGTGTTTTTGTGAGAGACCACTTGGGGGGCGAGCGAGTGCATATTTCTCAATCGGAGCTCACCTGCTTAAACTGATCAAAAACAACAAGGAGCAACAAAAGAGCGTCAGAGACTCGCAATAAAACTGTGTACGAGTTTTCTAAAGAGGAAATTATTCTATCCATATCGATAAGATATTTTGAATTACTACACAACGTACTAATTTTCATGTCAACTTTCTTGCAGTTTGTTTGCTACAACATAGATGTGGTACCTCTGCATTCCATGGGTCCATTTGGTACTTTTGTGTCATATTTGGCCAACAATCATTTAAAACTTTTGAGGCTCGGGTAAGTAGACTGAAATAAACAGTTGTACATTAGCTGAACTCTCTAATTATTATTATTATTATTATTATTACTATTATTATTTGAATTATTACTGTTATTATCATTGTTATTTTACATGTTGCAATATGCTAGAGAAAGAGAGATAATAGAGAAGAGTCCTGGAGATTCCAAATTAGGTGACTTATGCCAGCCCCAATTTCTAATCCCACCTCAGTCAGCTCCTTGCCTTAATGACATCAGTATTATAAACACTAGCCTCAGTTTCAGGCATCCAGTTTTTAAAAATCAGCAAAATAGTAAACAGGGCAGTAGTTGCAGTGAAGCCAAAAAACGAGGAGAGGTTTGGGTCAGAGCTTCAAACCCAGTCCCCCTTGTTTTTTTCTCTCTTTGCTTCTATTATGCTGTTCCCTATTGCTAAGTCTTACTTTTAATGAATGAATTCCTAGAACAGGCTTTGTGAATATGCATCTTGTTTATCTATCTTGTGTCATGCACTATAAAATCTCATTGATCTCATTGATCTCATTGATCTCATTGATCTCATTGATCTCATTGATCTCATTGATCTCATTGATTTCATTGATCTGATTCTTTGTACTTCATAGTTTTAGATTTGCAGTAATAGCCCATTTGTTAGAAGCTGGATTTGCCTACAGGATTAGTAGGTGAGAATTGAGTTCTTTGACTCAAAAGTAACTCCTTGTTGTTATTTGTTAATGTAGCCATTAATGTAATGGCATTTTTCTTTTAAAATCTAGAAATTTCTGTCTGAAATATACTATAAACTTGAAAGTACACATTGTGCTGGCAATGGCTGGTTCTGCTGGTTTTACATCGCTATGATCCTGCTTGAGCCTGGCAACAAAACTTTGCTTCTTTATGCTCAGGAAATGGTTCTGGATCTAGTTGTATAAAGGCAGGATAATGGTATCCTAGGGGTACAAAATGTAGCACATTATCCGCTGGACAGAAATTTATTCAGTAGACAGCATTATCCATGCTTTGAACAACCAGAGCCTGATTGTTTGCACTGTACAGGGGTGTATTAAGTAGGTATTCCTACAACTCATATTTTCAGGTAGAAATAGTGGATATTTTGGTAGATATCTGCTACTGTCAATTTTTATTCCCTGAAGTGAATTTGAATACATTTTTGTGTCATTTCACATGGCTTAGCACAGTGTTCTCAGCAAATGCTGATCATTACACAACATTTTGTCCCTTTAAGAAGTTGCTCCCACTGTTTAGCACCAACCAAAAAGATTATGCCCATTGGTAGAATTTATATAAATTAGGTATTATAGACCAAGACTGTCCTTAAATTATCTATGGCAAAAGTGAATTTTAATGGCTAAAATCTTGTGACATGCCTCTTAAAGGTGACTGTATCTGAAACTGTATTAATTTCAAAGCTGATGTGTGTGGTGAATTTTGCCACATAAACAGCTAGTGTCAGCATTATAAAAAGGTTTCCCTAGGTGTCATGCTGATATAACATTCTAAGAAACATACTTATCCTGTTGATTAAAAGACTTGGAAGCAACAAAAAGTTTGGTCTATGAGAGGGGTCTGCTTTGGAAATGTTAAAAGTGTTGTGTTGTTTGAACTGAGAAGTCACAGAGTTTCACCTTAAAGAGAAAATTCATATAACTTATGAATCAAATAGTTGCAAGTTATTATGAGTGAGCACAGGGCTGTGCTCCAATAGACCACAGATGCTACAACTGACTTACTTTTTTATGAGGGCAACAAGTATGACTTTGAAGAACTTGCTGGCCAGGATTTCTAGAATAGGAAACCTCAGACATCTCGGTGATTTTCCTAAGAGCATAACTCTGATAATCTGCATCAACTCATGTTAAACAAAGACTAATCACCTTGCAGGAGGATGATGTTTTCACGTGTCACAAGTTTCAAGTGGATGTTTCAAACTGCACTGGTTGGATTCCCCTCCCTTGGCTTGTTACTGAGGCATCGCAAGCAGAGAGAAATTGCAAGCAAAAAAGTGAATTGATTGTCACCTGCAGTCATGATCATTGTATTTAGTCTTGTGAATAGGGCTTTGTTTACTTCTAGTTTTTTTATTCAGTTTCTTCTCGTTTTGGAAAAATTGAAGGAGAGGGTGATGTGAAAATTGCAGATCGCAGGTCTCGATAGATACACTTGTTTATTAGTGCCCTTCAATTGACCAATGGATAGAAACAACTGTGAAGTAACTGCTGAGAAATCAAAGTATTTAGAATGTGTAGAACATCAATGGCTGTATAGCAGAAACGTGCGATGTTTATACTTACATTCGATGTAAAAAGATAGAAGTTGAGTGTGTACGAGTGTTTGAAAACATGTAACAAACTGGGTGTTGGCACACTCTGAGTACCTAGAGATAGAATACCCAGTCTACAGAAGATCACAATTAAAAATGAATAAGTTGAGCATTGTTAATCCTTTAGCCCCTGAGAGTGACCAGCATCCAGTTTCTCCTGACAATAATACTGCTGCATTATTCATTTGAGATCATTAAAATAAAGGAAATGATCACCAACTAAGGAAGCTCTTGCTCGTTAAACAAATTCTCCTTGTCAGCACCTTAGGAAATGTCTAAATAACACTATGTTAAAATATATTAAAGTTCGCACGGCAACCAGGTGGACAATCAGACATAGTTTGATGCTTCTCTGGTTTGCAGATTTAATGAATGTAACCGAAGAAGTTACAATTCATAGACCCAACGTTTCGACACTCCTGTCTAGTGCCTTCATCAGGGGTGATCTAAACGCTGTAACAAGAGGTGTTATCTTTTTACATCGAATGTAAGTATAAACATCGCACGTTTCTTTTACAGCGTTTAGATCACCCCTGATGAAGGCACTAGACAGGAGTGTCGAAACGTTGGGTCTATGAATTGTAACTTCTTCGGTTACATTCATTAAATCTGCAAACCAGAGTAGCATCAAACTATGTCTAACACTATGTTATTTACACTTATCTTTTTGGATTACGAAAGAGAACATCATGTCAATGCTTTCCCTGATATTGACGAATAGAGAATTGACATTAATAACATTGCTTTTTGAGTGTGTGTGTGTTTAGTTGTTTGTGTTTCTTTGTCAAGGTGGTTGCACTAAATGGTCTCTTGGTTATGCTATCCATTTTGACACAGCACGCAACCCTCATTATATACGCTGGAAGACAAATACCTCTGTCAAAATTGACCAAATGTACCATCAGTCAGATTTCGGTTTTTTTCGCCTAACCGTATTTTCAGATTCGTCTTAGGATGTGGTAGGGAAAGATACGACGCGTTAGCATTCGGATGCGATCCGAAGAGATACGAAACGACACGATTCGTTATGATACGATGCGATACGATACGATGCGATGCGATGTGAGGCTAACGGCGGATACTGAGTTCGCTGTAAATACCTCTTAAATTGTTTGTAGGCTCAAGCAATCTACATCTACGCGAATACCCTCAATTCATTGTCGCGCAAATTAAGGAAACTGAAAAGGCAGGAAAATAGTTCTTGCTGTTTATTTAGGACGATTTAATATTTTGATACTGACACTATACTTCCGTCGAAACGGAAACTTCCGTTTAGCACTAAAACATATTTTGAGAGGTTGACTTTGAAAATTGTTTTGAATAGTGTGTTTTCTTCTATCAGTCGCTGATTTGTTACATGCCATTACTTTTCTTAAGAAACTACACGTAGCATTAATTTTTCTTGGCCTCTCACTGGTGTCCCAGATGTTCCTAAGTTTTGCGTGACAGTCACAGTCCAAAGAGTTCGTTGGTAAGTGCATGACACTCGCGTTTTATTTGGGGGATTCCCTAATTCTAAATATATATCCTACTGCGGGCATTAATTTAGTTGTTACAGTGAAGCAAAAAACCCTTCTTCGTACATTTCCTTGATCTAAGATTCAAGCAGGGATATAGGAAATTTTTTATTAGTTCCCGAGGCAGGTTGTAGACTTGTCGCGATAATGTTAGTGGATTTATTAATGCTACTGATTGATTAATGCTGCTATTGCCTGTTTCTCGCTATGCAGAGATGTCTACAAGATTGCTGATAAAATCCTTATGCCGCTAATGTTCATCCCTTCCTCCTCTTTCACTGCTGGTAGACATAATTTGAGAACATTACCATGCAAAAAGCCCCATGACGAGACGCCGGAAAAAAACGAGCGGAATCAACCGACAAGAGGCTAACGCTAAAAAAAGTTGGCTTTATAAACATCAATTCGGTTGATTAAACAAAATCATTTTGCAATATAATTCACCGACGGAGCACCACAGATTCTTTAACAGCTTATGTTTTATCTTTGACAACTGGACTTTCAGGTGTTTGGCAAGAACCGGAAGTGTCATGTTTTTCCAGAGGAATATTCGAGTTTTATCTTTGACATGGAGGTGTTTAAAGAAAAAGAGTTCCCTTTGGCGAGTTGATGGCTCAGAAGTAAACGTCTGCAAGGTCTGAATTTTAAAGCTTGAATAGTCAAATCGGTTGCTGGTAAATGAGTAGAAAGTCACAGTCGCTGTTCTTGCCTTTTGCAAAATAATTGACTATCAAATTCAGCACTTGGGTGGGGGATTTTGACACAATTTTTGTTCAGGGGACGGGAATTTGAACGAACCAATTTTCAAATGCCCAGGGGGTCGCCCGGGGTGGGAAGATGTTGAAGCTTGGAATAGATCATTTCATAATTTCGCCTAAGTGTCATTTCGTTTTTAACATACGTAATCAACAAAACTCTATTGATAAGTATATACTGTTTTATTTGACGAATGTCATTATTAAAAATAGTGAAAATTTCGATTTATCAATTTTGACTCAAACGTATCGATAGTAAGGATTTGAATAATAACAATGTTGAACTCAGAAAACTTTTGCAGTTTTTTTTTTCCCGAAGAGCTTCGCATAGTTGCTATATTGTAATGTGCTAGTGCCTTTCAATTCATTGACGGGATAAAAAAAATTTTTTAACGTAACTCTTGATAATGGTCTGTTCCTGTAATGATTCTCATATACTTTTAAGTTAGATTAGTGCTATACGAGACGTTTAAAAAGAGTTGAGGATTAAAAATCACTTTTTTTCTCTCTTCCACGACTATTGCACCGTTTAAGCACTTGGTTTTACATAGAGAGCACCTGGAACAGGCTAGATAGGTGTTTCTAGAGTATTTGTTAAAGTTATATACAATTCATACTTAAAAACACTAACTTGCTCTCAAGGTGAACATCTTTGATACAAGCTCAGTATCAGAACACAAAATCATCATGACCCAATATTGGAATGCATCATTTTATACATTTTTTTTTCAAGAAATTTAGGATGAGCTTACTTTTTACAACCCGCTAAACTAGAGCGGCTCCTTGACGAAAACTTTATTTCCCTAACTAGTGTTTCGGTTTTCCTTTACAGATCTGAAGTGACTTTCTTTGGGAACGAAAGACGAGTAGTAGCATAGCGTTGGGTGCTAACGTTATGAATGGTTTCGTAGGTATGTTCCTTTGACTGTTTCTCCTCTACACTGCCATAGGCAGCATTCTCAAAAGTTGCCATCGCTCCAATCCTTTTCTCGCTCATCATGGAGTCCTTCTGGCCTTTTTCTGCTGGGGGAGAGTCTCTGAAGCTCTTTCCTTCAATTTCCATAGCAGCCGCTTTGTTTTCGTAAGCCATATTCTGTGATAAAACAAAAATATATTATATACTCGCAATTTTAATTGGTGCGAAAAAAGGCAGCCATGTTACCCCAACAGACTCTTTGAAGAAAATCGAGCAAGGCTGGTAACTTTTGGTAAATATGGAACAACAAACGGACTGAAATCAAGGTCATCTACTGAAATAAAGGAAGGAGGATAAATCATCGGATGTCGATTAAAATTTGAAATTAACTTAGATAATGATTAAAAAGAAAACAGTCGAGCGAATGGATATTGGAATGGATCAATGAGTGTTTGGACGGACGGATTCATGGATGGATGGGTAGATAGATAGCTAGATGGATAAATAAATAAATAGATAGATAGATAGATAGATAGATTGATATATTGGTAGATTGATAAATGGATAGATTGATAGATTGAGAGATTGATAGATTGATAGATTAAAAGATTTATAGATAGATAGATAGATGGGTCTTTTGGATAGAAAGATAGATTTATAGATTGATAGACACACAGATATATAGATAAATAGGTATATGGATGTATAGATATATGATTGATTGACTGATTGGTTATAACTGATCAATGCATGATAGGATAGTGTGCATGGAAGATGAGTGAGTATGGTTACTTTTGTAACAGTACCTTAACTGGTTTTCCGTCTACACCAATCACTGAAGCATTGTCGCGACCAGGCAGGTACATATTCGTTGTTGTACGGCGGGTGTAAATGCTATGGCCATAAAAAGGACTTGTAATGTCTCTGATATTTCCAGGTTCACTGTCTCGATAAGACACCTGATACCTATTATTCCCCAAACTAAAAAGTAAAAGAAGAAAGGGAATAAGTTTTTTTAAAGACCTTGTTCTGCTGTATCGGTGGGGAATATAACAAGATGAGTTGGTTTTTATCTATTGCTTAAGTAGTGTTTATACCTGCGAAGATCGCTTTAAAATATCAAAAGTCAACCGGAGTTGATAATGTGAATGGGCCACCGTAAAGAGTTTGTAAACTTTCTTTTTGAGTCATTCACTCTGACGGTGGCCAATTCAAAAACCCTAATAGTATTTATACTTTTTTTCTGCGTTAGTCCTGACGAGGAGCAAACGCTCAACTCAGTTGATAAAATCTCATTGTCTTGTAAAAAGTCCAGTTGAAGATAGATTTAAGTCGTACTATTAGACATACTTTATGTTAGGAAAATTGTACACTCACAAATAGGCTAGCAAGGTTAAAAATGATAACTGAGCCATCGAAAGAAATTTGTGGCAAGGAGCTGGAGACAAGACCAAACCAATTTCGGAACATGGTTACTAATGTCATCTGCTCATAATGACAATCTTCGCATCGTAAGTTACACGAAATCGTAGTGGAAGTATGACCCCACCATACGTAACTTTCTTGGCTTTCATTGGATTTCTTTTTTTACTCTTTTTCTATTCCTTTCTTCAGCTATTTATAAATACATTTATTTGTTTGTTAGAATGTTTTTCTATTGTGTTTTGTTGTTTGGTCTGACTTTTTTGAAATATTCAAAGACTCACTTTATGTACTTTCGTTTGACTTTAAATCCCGACAACGATGTAGATACTCCCTCTGACTCTCTGGTGATGCAAGTTTTTAAATATTTCTCTTTAAAATAACTATGTTATCTACCTCTCGTCGCCATCGTCCATCCTCCTGTAAATGAACACTGATGTAATGAGCAGAAGAACCAAAAAAATTATGGCCAAAACAAGGAATGCAATGGCGCAGTCCACAAGAATAGCTGAAAGTAATAAATGAAGTAGAAAAATTGGCGTTCAATTTCTGAGCAGTGTTTCAGTGTCTAATCCGGTAGATCGTTGAAACTACTCATGACATATTTCCAAGTGGTGAAGCTACATATACACTCTATCATTATGTCTATTGGTGAGTGCTAAATAGTATAGTTGCTACTTTCAAAATGCTACCCTATTTTCCACATAGGAATCTTACATAATGCTAACACATCAAAAGCAAGTTTCATAGCCACAGCAATGATGAGAACTATATGTCACGTTATTTAGATCAATGTCAGTATCTGAGAATCTGCCCACCTACCCCTCCCCTAACCCAACGTTAACCCTAAATTGCTATCGACTGTTGTTGGATTAAGGGAGGGTAACATGAGAAGAACCTTGGGAAGGGGTAGGTAAGCAGTTGCTCAGCCACTGACAGTGATCCCGCTATTTTTAACAAATCATATGAATCATTGTTTGTACATACCATCGTATTTCTCGTTTATGATGTATTCTGATGCTGCGAGGAAATAAAAAGAAAAATTAAAACTCAAGCTCTCAAAAGAATGGCTCCAACACATAACGCGAAGATACCTTTTAGTTGATATTTTGATAATCATGCTGGACAAAAACAAATTCATTGAGAAAGGAAACAGGCTCATTTACCCATAAGAAGGTTCAACAAAGAAGAATTGCTTGTCTTCTTCGTGATAATGTAGAGCTGTAAAATGTTGTAATTTGTTTTTTTCACATAGAGCCAAGGGCTCAGTTTCTCTAAAGGCGAATAACACAATCCAACGGATAAATCGCTATCCAGTTAACAAACGTTAATAAAAATATTGTGCTATCCACCAGATAGAGATTTATCCAGATCGAGGATACCGTTATTCACTCTTTAAATTCCAAACACAGAGGTTTTGTTGCCTTAAATGCCAATTATGATATTCGAGTGCCAAAGATCCTGTTTTGAACACATCAGTGCATCAGAGTTCATTAAGAAGGTTCCTCTCTTGGAAGAGATTTAGCTCATTGAAGTAACCAGTTCTTTTTGGGTAAGGACAGATCTCCGTACATTGTAATAAACTGTAGTATTTGTTGTTGATATTGTTTCACTACTAAATAGTTGTCAAGATATGGTATAATAGCAGTCTTCTAACTCAATGAGACGATGAAAATTATGCATTGCCCTTAATTTCCAGGATGAAGATTGGTTAATTCGCACGAATAACAGTTTTTCGAGGAAAAATTAATAAAGAAAAGTCTCATAACGAGTTGACTAGACAGATCAACAAATATTCTCTAATCATGATCAGCCTGTTGAACAATATGCAATTTTAGGTACAAAAAATTAACGTAAATTAACAAAATATAACAACGCGCAGAAACATCATTACATCAGGGAAAGCTACAATTAGAAGAAATTATTCAACACTGTGTACGCTGGCAGAACACTCAAGCAAAACTTATTTATGTGCGAAATCATTTTGCTTTAACTTGCAGTATTTCTGCACACCTACTTCTGTACACCTTATGACAAGTACCGCAATGCCGAAAGTCTGATATAAGTCATCTCACTTCAGAGTTCAAGGTTTCTTTTTCATAATTAATTTTATTGTTCAGATAAATGTGGAGTAAGGTTTCAAAGGCACTGCTCCGGGCTTTTCCTTTATAATTAGGAAATGATCGAACAAATTTCCTGCGCTTGTTCATCCTATCAGCATTTTACTAAATATCCAAAATGATAATGTCAAACTGCAAAAAATTTCGTCTTTCTGCTTTTGTTAATGCTGACTAAAGCGACGTGAAAAGTTTATTCTTCGAATTGGTCATAGGATGTAAGTTTGAAGTCGCAAGAATTTTGAAGAAGGCTTCTAGATTATTCGTGTAATGGTTCAACGCACAAAAAAAATCTCAGCGATGGCCACAAGAAATAAAGATGTATTCGATTAAAAGGATTGTGTTTTGCAAGCAAATTGAATTTAAATCCACTGAACTTTTATCTTTATTGAAGGGACTGAATCCTGAGTGATTAATGATACGGCGAAGAAATTGCGCTTCTTATACAACAGGCATGTAAACTTGACAATTAAAGGTGGCATTTGAACGCTCAGTTCAAATAGCTTCGAGAGATTGCTTCCGATTAAACTTAAGATCTTAATGGAAAAGAAGAAAAATTAGAATAATACTCACCTCCTTTGGTAAATGGCAACCAAACACTGCTCAGCAAACAAAGCCAAATGATTCCCGACGATGTTCTTCTCATCATCGATGCTCTCAACCTATCGAAAGAATGATCAACATGCAACATAAACACGCATCCTGCGCAAACGTGAACGTCTTCATGAATTATAATAAGCATTTTACAACAGAAGCTTTCTTACTTTCCCTACTGTTGTAGCAATGTTTCTAAATAGCGTCTATCGATAAAACGCAAGGTCAAATCCAAATCAAATGGACTCAAATATGCGTTTATTTTTTTAGCAGATTCAGGGTTGATTTACGCCGCAAGGTAATTCATCTGGTTAATAATCGACAGAACGACATATAGCTGTGCATATCTTTCGCGGATCATAAGTCACAAATAATGAACTTTCATCCGGGTATTTGATTCGAATAAACCACTTTGAGTTTTGAGCATGCTGTGACATTGTAAAAGGAGGGTAATAAATTTCCATAAGAAAACTGAATATTTGTCGCGATCTACTGTTAACCCTTAGTAACTGACGATCGATCATTGATTTATTATTTTTTTTGTGCTTATCCTAATGCGTTGGGCCATGTGAAGTTACTACATATTCGACTACCGTCCCAAGTCCAACAATTGTTGAAATAGCTTGGTACACGCACTATGATAGTAATTCCAATAAGAAAATTATTCTCGAACATTCCGAGTTCTGAAAGCAGTTGGAGACGTCACATGTGGAGTTATAAAAATTTGATGCTTCAAAGGTACCTGGTTTGAAGCCCAGAACTAATCTCATACCCAGATCCTAACGCGTTACTGAAATAAAATATCTGAACAGCAAGACTGTAAATGTACTCAAAGGTCTCCTTTGCCCACTGTGTTTTGTATAAAGTCAATGGCCAAGGTCAACATAACGTGACTGCATTAAAGTTGAAACTTAACAGGGACACATTCGATAAACTTGTTAGTGCTATTTTTTTTTTTTGGATTTTTTCACTGATAGAGTCAATAAAATGAACTTATTCCTATCGTTATCGACCAACGCTATCATTATCTTTCTAAAAAAATGCCATTATTTGTATTGAATCCCCGTTATTCGCTAACAACATTGTATTTTTAAATAGAAACGCAAAACAAACGAGACTCAAAGAGATGCTTAAAGTGTTTGCACTGAAGTTAAAGAAACCTCAAAACTTTCCAACTTTTTAGCGCAGCTGGGATTTACTCAATGACTTTATAAAAGAAGGCAGTCTATTTAATTGCGACGGAGTTGGGATGACAATAATTTATTCAAAGAGGTCCCCAGAAGCTTTGTCTAAGCAATATCTTGGTATGCGATTGCATATTGTGAGCAGCATTCGAACTCCTTGTAGACAGATTATTGCCTCTGTCTTTCGTTCTTTCACAGATCAAAGGTATTGTTATAATTAAGAAAAAAATATTAACAATCTAGGGGAAACAACGTTTCTTGCTATTATATTTCCTTCAAGGATAGTGTCGTCCAAGGCAAGTAGAGTCTATCCAGCGTGATGTGGACCCACTTCAAATTCACTGGGTTGTACCTCGCGGTAGCTTTTTCGTTCGCGTCATCCGCAGCTGCAGGTAGTCATTTTTCCTTTTGGTTCAATTACATGGATGACTTATCTCTAGGAACTAAGGCGTTTATTACAGGATCACACTGATCTCAATGGTTTGCTAGTGATTCTCACTCAGAATCCTTGCAAATTTACCCTTCCCGAATTTTCTTGGGAACGGATAATATTAGTGGATTTGCCACGATAATTATCAACTCGGTCGTGCATTTCCCTGAAATTAATCACTTTGGATAGAGTTGTAATGAAATTGTTTTCGTCTAGATATATCAGAAATTTCTACCAAGAACAACAATACCTAAACTTTATAGTGAAAGCATTTCCACCTTCAATTGTTAACAAGACACAATATCTCGTTTTCTACCAACACTGAGTTCTGCTTTATACATGTCTTATACATCCTTTGCCCACGCTGTGATGCTTTTCTCGTTTCCCCAAAATTTCTAACAGTAACTTACTGAGCCGGTAATTAACAATGGAAGATAATCTTTGCAATTATTTTCAAAAATAAATGGATACAAGTTGTTCGTGTGATATGAAATTGGTAATACGAAACTATATATGACTAATTGTTTTTGATAGTTTGATTATACTCTTCTTGTAGACTCAACTTCCAGAGCATTTTTCAATTGGGCCTGTAAATCAAATGTACTTGAAGTCACGTGTCCTTGCTGGAGTGAAATTCGGAAGCTAAACATAAAATGAAAATACCCTTTTGTTTGTTCCTGTGGACGTTTGTAGCAATTATTATTACAAAAACAAAAAACAAAAATAAAAAAAATCGGTCATCGACTTTTAATCACTTACGTGCGACGACGCAAAAGGATCAATGATTTAATTCGTTTGAACGATTCACTCTGAGTTACTTAAAATAGAAAAAAATAAACTTAATTTTCCTCTGCTCCTTAGCCATAGATCGAGTTACAAAGTGGCTTGTGAAATCTTTTCTTATATTAGTTTTTTTTTCTTGCAGAAAAAACGTATATCGTTGGAAAGGGAGAGGATGGTGAGTTGCAGATCATTGACTCTCTCTTTACATAGAAAAGGGAAAAATTACAGCTAACAACAGTTAGCTTCAAAGTAGTCCCAAAGACCTACAGCTAAAGGTTGTGAAGGGAAAAATTACAGCTAACAACGATTAGCTTCAAAGTATTCCCAAAGACCTACAGCTAAAGGTTTTGAAGGAATTTTTTTTGATGATGCACTAAAGCTTTGCACTCGAAACAAAGTAAGCCATGTTGCAGAGCTGGTCGCTGTGATTGATGATGCTGTTGCTATTGCTGCAGCTTTTCGTTTTGCTATTGGCAATAGAAACTGCAAAGAGAGAGAAAATTAAGACAATTAAGATTCTAAAACAAATAAATGAAGATTGGATTAAGCCCTTTGACAATCATTAATTTATTCTCTTGTAAAACAAACAAGTGGTGAGGTCAAGATAAATTACAAACTGGGGAATAAAGTTCAATATACTAGTAAAACTACCAGCGAATAAATGCCACCAGCCTGTTGATGAATTTGCGTTTAGATCTTTGTAGTTACAAGAATTGTATTAGCTGGTGCATTGTGAGCCCTTCGAGGAATGTAACAAAGCCGTTATCATTTTGTTCTGTCCATTAACTTTTGTTTCGTAGAAAATTTGTTGATGATGAGTATTGTGTTCTTGGTGGTGTGTGGCTTATTTTTTGTGATCAGCGTCGTGATGTCTTTGATGTTGATCAGACGATCAAGACTAACATATGGGTGAGTACTCCAGACCTTAAGGCAAATATTTAGATCATCAAGCGAAATATCCAACTTTACTGTGACACTGATTACATTCTATTTACAAGTTATAGACCAGTATAATTACTCCCCTACCGTTACCCTAACCGAAAATCCCGAACAACAAGGTGAGAATCTTAAAAGTTTTCCGAAAGACGATGAAAAAAAAGATAAGTGGTTAAGAATAAATGAATAATAAAATATTTCGTCTAAATATAAATGAAATAGAATCGTATACAGATTTCATACCAGAAAATTTCCAATTTATTTACTATTTTCCTTTTTGAAAAGTAAATTCGTTATAATCACAGCTCTCTTGTTCTGGTGTTGTTGTTATTGTTGTTTTGTCAACGATTTGATTATAGTTAGCACCCTCATCCTTAGGATTTATCTGTACTTTCGTTGACTAAATTGAAACTTAAGATCACCTTTCGAGGCGTAACGTTTTCTTTCCTTTCTTTTCTCTAGTAGTGGAAGAGGATATGATCTAGAAATAACGGAGGAGAAGTTTCAGAGCATGTACCGGTCCAGCGAGCACGCTGAGGAGAAGTCACCAGCCAAATTCGAGCAGCTTAAGGTCAGGCAAGAGGCTTACTGAACTTTGAACTAGCTTTTTCTATGAACAATCCTCTACCTTCTTTGCTGTATTGCAAAGCGTTAGAGTAGATTTAATATTTCGTAGTTTTTTTTAACGTAAATGTTTCCGCTGTTGAATTCGGTAAGTTGTGAGTGATGATCTGGATACCGTCACTATCTATTCGGAACCTTGGAAGTCAATTATGTCATGTTTTTTACGTTTTTCTCTCGTTACCAAGGTCAACATTGTTTTAAGGAATCAATAATTTCAATATCAGAATCATTAGTACAAGTTATTGATTGTGTCAAATTCTCAATATTCTTCGACTGCAGGGTTTATTTTCAAAACGTTTGCCACAGCATGCTAAATTCATTGTTATATAATGTTTCCATGAAAATCTGCTGCAATGTGCCCCGTGATGTAGCTTTGTCGGTAGCCATTCATTCTGTACAGGGTCTCAATGGGGTGATGGCTTTCACGGCTGATGTTTAAAATTTTGGCCATTTTACAGCTAACGGTTTACCCCCGGCCATTGAGACCCTCTTGCTATCAGTACTTAACCGTTTACTGAGACTGAAGAACAGGTTTAAGCCAAAAAGCTTATCTTGCTTGAGTGCTAAACTCATTATCACATACTTGTTCCACCAAAATCCGCCACGATTTGCCTTTACCCTATCAAGTACATTCGTAGCTTTTCATTTGGTGGCATTGCCTTGCCGTTGTCTGATACAGACAGGTTAGATCCATAAAACTTGCATTTCCCTGAGAATTCGGTTTTCTGCATTTTTTGAGTTGCGATTACCCGTGAGGATCATGTCATGACTTATGTATAATCCCTCACACAGCTCAACGACGTAAGCAACGGAGTTCATGACTCCATCGACGACATCAAGTCAAGTGAACGCCAGAACAACAATATGGGAAAAACAAGCGCTCCACCAGGAACAGAAAAAGAGCAAAAAGGCACCAAGGAAAGCGAGAAAGACACAAAGACTCTCAGTTCTTTTCATAACAAGGCGTACCAAAGTACCAGCATGCAATCTGGAATGGATCTGGTGGAAAGTGACGTCAAACGCTAAAGACAGGCACACACCGTTTTGATTAATGAAAGAAAGTGACACACGTAAGAGCTGGTGAAATATCAAGGAGCTTCTTATCATTCTTTTTCGGTCTAATTGAGTCGTTTCAAACGTAAAATCATGTGCATGTGTTTAAGTTTCAAACTCCTGGAAATAAATAGAGTTTACCACCTTTGCACCTGGTCTACAGTTGTATCTGCTGAATGATCAATTTCGAAGGAAGGTTTTTCTAACAATAACGATCTCGTGTTTTCAAGCTTGTGTCGATGAGTCGTTCTGTTTCCTGACAGCAACACTATCTGCGTGATGACTGAGTGCCCAGACTGCGTGACTGACTGACCGACTGCATTACCAACTGAATGACTGACTCTAAGAAATAAAATAAGACAGGTTTGTTGCTGTTCGACATTTAGCGGGAATTTTTAATATTGCATGCTGTTGTGCGATATATTTATCACGCATTAAAGATATTTAACTCAAATGGCTCTCCTTATGTCAACTGCATAATCCTGCTTGCTTTTCATGTCTCATCCATTACGTAGGGCAATGAATGCGTTTGACGTATTTCTACGATTCTCTAACTATAAAATATTGCGGTGAAATCCTTCTATAATACATTTTAAAAAGGGCTAAAAAATATAGTCGACGACGAATTAAAAAAAATTATGAGATTACAATGCTATAAAATACTTTAATGACAATAGCTGCTGAATAAAAACGTTTCACAACGATAAGTGACTTAAAACTAAACAAAAAGCTTTGCATGCATTGAAGTTCCGCTCGCACGTTCAACTTCGGTTTGAGTTTTTTGATGAAGAGCATTGTGAATACTGGAGAATCAAACCTACTTGGCTATTTTCTCAGAATTTAAAAAATGAATTTTATTAAGATCGCTCCTACCGTGCACTGTAGTGAGACGTTGCTCGAATTCTCGTGTTCAATGACACATTGAAGAAGGTGTCGTTCCGTGTAACCGACATAATCTGCATCGCGTAGAGCACATGACGAGTGGTCTACTGCTGATTGACACTAGGCGGATTGGTTTCCTTAGGCCTCAAGTCTTGCTCTAGTTTTCTAATCACAAAAACTGTATTATGACTGCACCAAGAGTTTCATTGCGCAGACGTATTTAAACGTTAGAGGATTATTTTTATTCCACGTGCAGTTCATTAAAATCCATACGAAAGAATCATGGGTTGCAAGTTACTCGCATGGCCGAGCTTTCCTATCTATTCTACGAATGTGAAAGGAACTCGAGATTTATTTAAACCAAGAAACAAAAAGAGACATAAGAAGGAAAAAGAAGGAGAACAACAACAACAACAAAACCAAGGTCATATTTTCAATTTGACTAATTTTACCATGAAATCATGTAAACATCTTCGAGTTATAGCTTAACAGACCCTTGCAACTTTTTTTTCTGGTTTTTGAAACAAAGACAAGTACGCCTTTTCACGATAACAGCGTGAAGAGAGAATCTATTGTAATTAGGTCTCAAAGTTTAGTTTCCCGTTATCACTACCAGAATAACTTATGACTTTGTTACTTACTGAAAGAGACAGAGAAGCGAAAAGGTTAAGACACTTTAGTTTCTATAATTCCTCTGATGAACGCAGCGAGGACTATCAACAATAAGATGCATCAATACTTCAATTTTATAAATGAAGAGAAGAGAGGAGCTTTTTTTTCCTGCTCAGGAGTTTGTGTGTTTATTTATCTTTGTGAAACAGAGCTGGGTTCTGGGATTATTTTGCAATAGTTTATATGGTCATCCCATCGTGGAACGGACCACCTGAAAATGTAAATATAGAAAATCCACTGTATCTTATGTGGATACAGTTTTGTACAGTGATGTAATCAAGCTGAGAATTGTACCTTAAATTAAATAAGTTGTCAGGATGAAATAATGGCTCAATGAACATAACTAGGAATCCCGTTAACAAATTATTACACATAAATCATGATAAACGCAGCAAAGCTGTAAAACGATAAATGAACTGTATTCGGCTAGTGGAGATAAGGCCACTTTTTGCGTGTCTAGTGCTTTTCGTGAGATCAATAAAGCACTTCTTTTAACAGTCGGTGTATTTGAATAACAAATGATCTTGACGTCAGTGTTTGTAAACAGCGAATATTACCATACACAACCATTGTTTCGTTTACCTGCCAATTGAACCAAAATAGAAAACTTAACAGTTTTACCAAGATTTAAAACGTGAACTTTCTGCTCTAATTTTTGAACTTTCGGATTAAAATTGCTGCCAACTTGGACTTTGATAAGAAGAGTTATATTGAAGCAACTTTTAGGAATATCTTGACGAGCTTATGCGTGTTCAATCCCGCTTATCGGCCGTCGTATTAGAATTAGCGCGATATCTATGACGCAGAATTTTGTTTACAGTTACCGCTGTAAATGAGGCGTAAAACCTACAAAAGGTTCTTAGTATTACCGAGAAACTTTTATCTAATTCAAAGTTCTCTTGTGTGGAAGTGGCTTGTTTGGCATCAAAAGTCTAGGAGCTAAAGTATTTCACATTTTGGGAAATTGACGTGACACGTGAAACACGAATCACGTGTCACGGTAGGACAGTTGAAATGAGATAGCCAGACTCCGCAAGCATGATGTATTCCAGTACATTTGCATTTTGAAAGCATATTGCCACGGCACTATCATCGGATATTGATCCTTCAACGCTGAGAACCGACTTTGCGAATGACTCGACTTTTATCTACATGCCTTGAAACATTATTTTAGAAGTAGCTACCTTCTGATTATTGTTGTGTCTCTAACTAAAATGGGTGTAAGGGGCTACCTCTACGAGTCGTTCTTGCTGTTGGCTTTATTTTCTTCTGCTGTCCATGGAGGTAAGTCGTCGTGCGCATTTCAGAACAAACACTTTGTTTATAGTTAAACGAGAACGGAAGTTTTTCTTTTCAATAATATTACGCGTAGGCCATAAAAGAAATGGTCTTAAACCACAAACTTTGGTTTTTACTCAGTCTGAACTGGATTGAGTAAAATCCCTTTGAATGTGGCGTCTACTTTTCAAATTTCAGATTTTAAACTGGGCATTTCATTTCAAGACCGTAAATTTTTTATTACGAGAATCAAGCCTAAGCTGTCTCTGTGCTGATGATATTCACTTGATCTTTAAACGTTCTTGAACCTTTTCATTTTTAAGACTTAAATTAGATTTCGTTATAATCGAAGTGTACCCTACATATCGATCATCTTGATAAGCAACAAATCGACACTGGAAGGTCACGTTTTTGCGTTAAAATAAGGAGGATCCGAGAAACACCAGCTTCGAGCAGCTCTTTTGTTTTTACGTAAACATGCTGTACAAACGGCAAATTTGAACAACACGTTTATCCTCTGGGGACGTACAGAAAGAAAGCAACCTCTATATCTAGCGTGCTGTCAAGCTTTAATTATGCTAATCATGAAGTTAATCCTTCGTCAGAATTAGATATTAGGTACTAATATGACCTACTCGATGTCCCCACTGAAGAAACTGTGGTGCTACGTCGGTGGAAGATTATAACAGTGTAATTTAGTACTATGAACTGAGTTGATATCTTAAATTGGCCACCGTAAAGAGTTTAAAAGCTGACGTTTCGAGCGTTAGCCCTTCATTCATCGCTCTGACGAAAGGGCTAGTGCTCGAAAAGTCAACTTTTAAACTCCTTACGGTGGCCAATTTACGTTATCAACTCAGTTCATAATACTAAATTACCCTTTGATAATGCTATAATACTTATTTCACGGCGGAGTCGATCAGGGCCTGTTTATTCTTTCTTCTCTTTATTTTTCTCTCTCTCTCTCTCTCTCTCTCTCTCTCTCTCGCTCTCTATCTCTCTCTTTCTTCCTTTTTTTCATTTTTATTTTGTTGGGATGCCACCGACGTAAGTTTCTATTCCATCCACGAAGCAATGTTGAAATAAGTTACACGACCAGGTTCATACGGGCTAAAATAACAACTACCAAGCTCTCGCATATGGTGGATTGTACAAAAAAAATAATTTATTGTCTTTGTACAATCATCCATGAGATGAGATGATATCCATTCATGCATGCTAGTTGGTCTCTTAGTTCTTCGTGAATGTCACGTTTTATGCATCATGTCTTGCCTCTCAACGCGTTTTATGCATCGTTAAAAAAAATCGTCGAACACATCTCTCTGATTATTCAGTGAATTTACATCTCCGATCCTTTTCCTAGACAGATTTCCGCCTTTTAAAGTGCCCTCTTCCTTCGTTTAGAGGGTTTTATAAGGGAGGGGGTTAGAAAATTAAGATCGGGAGATTAACATTTAAGGTTTAAGTCAACAAACGGAACACAATGACATGGACGTGAGTACCGAAGAATTCTCGGCGCCAAGGGCTACGGTTAGAGTACCAAATGCCCGCTTATAGGAACGCTGATAGACGGTCAAGCCAAGGGAACAGAATCAAGTAAATGAATAAACGGGAGGTGCCACGTCGCTGGAGGAATAATTTAGTTTTATCAGCTAAGGTGATAATTTAAATTGGCCACCTTCAAGAGTTTCTAAAAATGACGCTCCGATGGTTAGCCTTTCGTCAGAATTAGATACAAGGTATTGAAATGACCTACTCGATGTCCCCTCGCAAGAAAAGTGCGACTTCTTTGAGGTTTCGTTTTTAAAAGCTAGTCTCGAGCTGCGGCCTTTAGATCTGAAACAGGGCGACTTTGTTATAAAGGTTTAGGGGGTGGGGAGGGGAGGGGAAGAAACGCTCAAGCCGAAGCGCCAAAAATTAACAAATACATTCTATGTTGCCGTGCGCATGTTTAATAAGAGATTACAGATTACTCTAAGAGAGCTTTACAGACCTACGGTGACATGGGATCTATTTGTTTTATAATCATGATAAAAAACAAAACGTCGTCATTTATGTTGCCATCTATGCGTCTGTCCTCCCATAGATCATGGGTAAGAACCGATCAAAATTGAGCATAGAATTAGGGCCTGTCTCCGGCTCATCTAGCTAGCCTGGTTCACTTTGACTACTGTGTTCTTTAAGTGGTAGAGATTGGGCTTTTAAATCCGAAGGCCTGGGTTCGTATCATAAGGGAGACTAAAATGTATCTTCGTTGCACTGACGTGAGGCAAACGGATAACTTTCTTTAAATAACTTTTTAATTTGGTTGCTATTTCCTTAGAACTTACTATGAAAACATCACATCAGTAACATGCAATGATACATCTGTTCCTTTTTTCTTCTCTTTCTTATTGCGATTTCTAGACTATATTGATCACTCAGACCAAGACGAGGGAACTAACGATGAAGCTAGTAAGTCGCGATCTTCTCCTAAATACATTTTGTGCCATGTGTTTATTTGTTTATTGTCGCTTCTCGTTTAGGGAGTGGTCACTATTTTTCGCCGATGGAGCGGGGAGGAGGTTCGGGGTGGGAGTTGGAGGATTCTTAGGATCCTCCTCATTGGCAGTTAATAAACAGTCAATATCTATAGTTCCCCTTCGTATTAAGTTGGCGACGACTGATCACCTTCCGTTACCCCTGATAACCATGTGATCCTCAAAAATCTCCCCCACCCGCTTACCCAGACGATAAATAATGACTGGTCCATTACTCTTGGTCAGTGTTGGAGATCAAGAACCGTTGGAGGGGGAGGAGTGGGTGGGGAGTCCACATTCAACTAGGGTAGAATGAAATTACCACTGCTAAGAGATTTAGTAAGCACCAGAGAATTCTTTGAAAATTATTTTTATTTTACATTGATGAGTAAATGGAAAAGCCAAGGATGTTGATTAAAGAGTCTCTTGAGATTCTCCACAGTCTCTTTTTGTCTAAATAATCTGGTGTAAGTAAAAGTAAGTAGGTAACTTTATTAATGTGGTCCAATACGCTTAGCTCATTACAGTATTGTAAGTATCGCCGTTTTGCGGGTATTGCCACGAATAAAAAAATAACCAAAAGAGGAAAGCAAAAACATTAATATCAAAAATTTTATCTCAGTCTACGACATAACAATCTGTGAGTATGTCGGTAATAAAGTAAAATAAAAATATTAACAGTTCCGTAATAGTTATAATAAAACTATTTACTGCTCGATATAATTGTATGACGTCAGTTTTCCTTTTTCAAGCGCCTTTTAAAGCTACTTTGTTTAGTCTCATGTTTAATATTTCCAGTAATGCATTCCGTATCGACGTACTGAGGAAAACTCATTTCTTTATTTTTTTTTAATTTACAGGTGGTTTGACGATCGTCATAGTATATGGAGTTGTTTTAGCCATTCAGCTGATTGTCTTCTTTATTTTTGCATGCAAAGCATGGGATGCGGTGTTTAAGTGAGTTCTTATTTCTCGTTTTTACGGTTTTTTTACGGTAGCCAATTTAGCTTACCAACCTAGTTGGTAGAACCTAAATATCTTATGATACCACCACTGACGCAGCACAAAAGTTTCTCTAAAAACTTTTCTCCTTTTTCATTTCACATGGTAATGGTTGCCTTTGGAAGCTTGTTAAAGGCAGTTTTTCATTCTGCTTTTAAAAGATTGCCAAGCAACTGCTAAGTTCATTTTCCTCCTGTTTTTTCAGATCTCGGTCAGTTGCTGAGGATCCTGAATCACAGCTGACAAACGAATTTCCATTCTTGCCTTCTTATGAGATGGCGATGAATGAAGTGCGTACGAGTCAACAGAGTATTGCTAGCAGCGACACAGTTGTTACTACTATTGACGATGGTGTAATATTGGGGATAGCTAGTCCAGGTACCACTGCATTCCAAGAAAACCAAATGAATGAGTCAGAGACAAATCATTGTGTTGCAAACTCACCGAGAAGCAGAAGCAGCTTAGATGATGGAGTAGTTTCAGAAATCGAGGAATCAGTCGCTATCGCGCCTGTGGAGGAAACCGTTAACTTGTAACATTATGGTTCAAGTGAAAACTAGCTTAACAGAGCTAAGTTCTCCTAACAGTTGTACTTGCGTCGAAAACAAAGTCATGGGGCAACTTTTCACATCAAGTGCAACCACATAGACAGAAAATCGAGTAGAAACTTACCAAAAAATGGTTGCAGTGTGTACACACCACCAATTTATGAAGTCTTCGTCGACCATGGAACTGCGTCAAAAACTTTTAGCTTCTGGTGTAAATACATCCACGTATGAAAGGACCATGCAGTTAGCAGGAAAAGTAGGAAATAAAATCAAAATTAACCAGTTATTTTTGATGCGCGAACAATATTGCCTCCTTGTGACAGCGCATGGAAGTTTGTAAAGTGTTCATACATTTATGATACTGACGATAAAGGAGGAACTATAAAGGAATTCAATTCAAGAGCTAGTTTCATAGTTAGGGATCTGTCATAATTTTTTGTGGGGGGAAGGTTTTCGGAGATGTCGTTATCCATCCCTTCCCCCGGCGATAAACAATGAATGAGCCTTTCATTGACACTTGCACATGAGTAACCAAGAAAAAGAAAGGCGCAAAGATCAGTCATTTTTATTGTAAAAGATTGTGAGTCACTAAGTGGAAAATGCATGAAGAATGAAAGGGAAGAATTGCAATAATTTCCTCGTACAAAATGCCAAGATCAAGCACTGACAAAATATTAAGTATTTTTCTAATATAATTCCATTTTAAGGAATGTAAAGTGATGTGTTGGAATACAGCAGTGATGACTGAACAGGTGATCTTGTGGTCTTATCGATCGAGTAAGTGTAACCTTGTAAAGGACTGTATTCAATAAAAGTTGCTGAAGCTTAGAAAATGTGAAGTTCATGGGCAGAAGTCATCAACAGAGTAAGTAAGGAATCGTTTGTCATTCGAGATAATTTTCGGGGACTTCATGGCGTGTAAAACGAGTCGCTTATATCAAGAGATTGTATCATACAATCTCTTGCTTATGTTGAATAATTCAACTTTGTATATATAGTCCTTTTTGTTTATAAAGATATATTCTTAAACGTTTTGACGAGTTGTTCCTCATATTGATGAGCCCGCGAGGCTTGACAACATACAAACACCGGCACTTCACGGCAGAAATAAGCAATATCCATATTTATCTAAGCAGGAATATTTTTGTAGTGGAGAGTTAGGAACGTAGGGCACACAGTCGTGATCGCACCTGAAACATATAATTACACAAGTCAAATTTTTCGCCATTTTTTTGTAATTTTTATCGAGGGAGAACGCGACCGTTCCTCACCTGTTAAATTATCTGGATCATCCTTACCTATTAAATTATCTGGATCATCCTTACCCGTTAAATTATCTGGATCAATCTTGTTAAATCGTGCAGCCATCTGAGCTCTCTTTGAAACGATCTGAGCAGGAGCTGACCTGACTGTAAACAATCAGACTCGCAAAGAGCAAACCACAGACTGAAGAATCCATAAAGCTTCCGAAAATTTTCACGATCCACGTAAAACTGGCATTTTTATTCAGTGCTTCTAGCGCCGGTCAAGTCACCCGAGAATTTGACTGTTTTATCAGTTAAAGCCCACAATTAAAGCCTAACTTGATATTGTTGATTGACCGTCATGACGTGATGCATGCGATCGCGTAACAATTCTCCTGACGTTCTACAAAAAATCGCTTACAGTACTTATTGTAGGCTCTCGGTAAAGCTCTTGTCATTTGACGGCTCGCTTCTTGTTCGTGCTCTGCGGTCGGAAACGATTTCGGGATAATCGTGAAGCGATTGCATGAATCAAAGTTTAATCCACAAGATCGAGCGAGCTGCTTATGTAGTGTTTATATGCAGGGAAATAATCAAATTCAAATCCCCTACTTTCTTTCGTTAAGGGTAATTTGATGAAATTATCTTTAGTCTTCTATTTACCCACATCTCTGTTCTGATTTGCGTCGTAATTACTTCGGCTTTATCTCTACCCTTAATGTTCTTGAAGAAGGCATTACTTCTTAATTTACTCCTCCCTCTCAACACAAAGACACTTTCTTTTTAATTCTGATAATATAAAAATTTCAGTTTGAGAAAATGTGCATATAATCAGCAAAACTCTATGCAACCTTTTCAGCTCAAGACACAGAATAAAATTATTTTTACTGAAAACCCTTGATGGAAAGATTTACGAATAAATCAACTGACACTCATAAATAAGATTTTCTAGCTTTTCTCTTGCATATCGAAACGTGATTGGTAGCAAATATTAAAACAAAGTTTTAGATACTTGTCATTTGCAAAGTAAACTTTGTGGTGACTTTAATGACGCGCTCTGTATGCTATTTCTAAAATATTGGTTTTACTTACATCACGTATCTGTTCGATTTTTTCCAATATGCTATGATTCAGTTGTGCAAATTACAAAAGAGAAGGCCGAAGTTGTATCTTGGCCCAATGCAATTTGTTGGTTTTCCTTATGCCTTTCTTTGAGTATTTTGCAGCATACATTTAACAATTGGAACTGTTTGCGGTACAAAATAAAAATGACAGCTTTGGATATCGAGTGGAGCAGGTGCTGTTTCGTTTACAAATAGCTTCTGCCATAGATTGCGGATTCAAACGCCACGATCTAAAAATTTTTAAGCAATAATGCCATTACTTCATAATTTCCATGCGAAAATCTTGTGTGATATAAATTTCTTGAATTGAAAAGTAATGGATGTAGAGGAAAAAATAAACCGCTGTTACAATAATATAGGGGAAATTACCAGTCTTTTCCTTTGGTAGCTAATGTAAATTAAGCTTACTTTTACAACAGTTCGTAAAGTATGCTTTAATGCCGTGAAAATAACTCAGGGTACATGTCCTTTTCACTCCCACGGTAACATTTTTACAGTTTTTGTTCTGTTCTGTCTTTAATTACATTTTTCATTTTCTTTTAGCTTTTTCCGTTTATTAGTTTAGTCTAGTAATATCCTCTGTTTCGCTCAACCTGCAATTTTTTCTCAAATGTTTCCGATGCAAGCCAGAAGAAACGTGGGCCTTTTGAGAAAGAAGGACTCCGGCAATTGCATCAAGAGTAAACGTTTTGTCGTTCGAAGTAAACCTACCCTTGGTGTTTGTTATTTCGTTGCGATCTTATACCTCTTGTAGAGCCTCTTTCCACCCAGGAGAAGAAATATCTGTCATATTAAAGTAGTACCAATCTTACGCATTGCTGGGAGTGATAACGAATCGACCGATATCAGAATGACGAGGCTATTTTGTTTATTTAAATAATAAGTTAATTATGAAGAAGTCTTTCGTCTCTGATGTTGTAAAACGTAAAAGCAATTCTATCTGTACACACACGAGCGTGGATGTATCAAATTTCTCGTGAGAAAACAGCAAATACTACGTGGAAGGATAATAAAAGTTTCTATTTCTTTATTTCTATCTGAAAAAAACCAAAACACAACAAAATAACAAGAATGAGACGTGTCCAACGTTATCTCATACAACAAAGATGCATAAAGCTGAGAGAACGCAAGCTCTTGGGACATCTGCCTTTCTTGGCGTCTTTCCTAACTAAATTTAGGAGATTCTGAGGCAAGCGTATTGAAAGTTATGATATTATTCGGCTTATTTAGAATTGATTTTTATTTAGAGTGGCATTGTTTGTATAATCTGAAATATTGTGTTCAGAATTTCTTTATGACACGAAACCAAGCACAAATTAAGCTTTTTATGGGTCTATCATTGAAACATATCTGGATTTAAAATGATTACGTCAACTGAATTTAAAGTTGATTGACAGACGGTATTGCCTTAAAATGATTCACCGGTAAATTATGGAGAGTTTAAAAGCTAGTTCAAAGTCAAAGCACGTTCGTATCAGCACCACAAGTTGAATCATCATAAAAAAATCGGAGTTTTTCAAAGTGGACATGAACAACTCAAGTGATGAGGTTTTCAATGATAAATCTTCGTGTCCATATGTTGTTTCTGGGTTGCTCACAGCAACAGTTTCCCTCATCAGTATTTGGGCATTCATCGGAAATACCCTTGTGACAGTTGCTTTCCTGAAAGACGTTACGCTAAGAACAAGCACAAACTATTTCATTGTGAACATGGCTATTTCTGATCTGCTATCCGCTATGACGAACTGGCCGCTATATGCAATTGAAGGAATGCAATCAGGAAAGCATACGATTAGTGACTCCATTGCTACACCTGTATGCAAGTTTTGTATCTATTCAAGATCCATTTCCCAGGCTGTGTCAGTCATCAGTCTCGTGTTGATCGTCGTGGACAGATTCATCGCCATTGTCCGTCCTTTCCAAGCCACGAGGATAACTGGTCGAAGCCGTGCCATATTATTGCTATCCACTTGGATCGTTTCAGTCTCCGGTGCTTTTCCTTACGTCTGGTTTTCCAAAATAGTCTTAGAAAATCGTCACAAATTTTGTAGGTTCAACTGGGGCGAAGATCAACGTCGCATATTCTACGCCATGGGATTTGTAGTATTTTACTGCGTTCCGTTACAAGTTATACCTATACTTTATTGCAAAATCATGAAATGTTTGAGACAAACACGGCCTACAGGAGATGAAGTGCAACAAAACGTAGCAATCCGCAACAGACAACAGAATCAGGTTATCATGAAAGTCTTCATATCAATCGTCATAACATTTTTTCTATGTTGGACTCCACTGTGTGTTTTTCTTATTCTCAAAATGGTTTTACCCTCATTGTATACCAAAGATTCGTGCTTACTATCTTTAGCTTTGTTTTATTACATATTTCCATCTATTAGCGCTGCAGTTAATCCTGTCATACTAATTGCATCTAGTTCAAGATTCCACATGGCATTAAGGAACATGTTTTGTTTCATTACGTGTTCGTTTACTTGTGGCAGGGAAGTTAGGGTTTCACCAGAAAACGAAATGAACGTACCACCAGCTGCAAAATAAACAAAAAATAAGATCTAGAGTTTAAAAAGTTTCAGATGTATTACTGGCGCCTTCGTCTTTCCACTTTCAGTAAAACTCGGATTTCAGTAAATCGTTGTGCTTTCAATAGTTTAGGTAGCAGATGATCCTAAAAGGAGAGTAAAATTATATTTAGCATAATATCGAAAGTTTTAACATGACAAATTAAGGTCAGTTAGTTTCTCAAAATTTAATAATTCATTTGAATCGATGGATGCTAAATAGAGGGCTTTATATTTTTTATCTATTCTAAAAATCGCGGTTGCATGTCGCCTTTACTTGTGCATATCGATATTGTAATTTGAAGGTTATCTTAACGACACGTAGGCAATGGCAGTTTATGACAATTTTGGTATGATTTTAATATTGATTCGTTAAAAGGAGAACTGACAACCATAAGTATTATCAGATATGTCGGTGGAAACGACGCTGTTTAATTGAAAGCTAAAAAATATTCCAAATGATAATATCTATAACAATAGTAACAAAAACAACGAATGCTAACTAAGTGTATTTATGACTGATGATCAGTTTACTATGCTGAAAGCTTTAGATATTCCTTTCATCTATCCAAGACAGGTTCCCAAAGTTCCACTCAATATTGAATATTAAACCGTTATCGGTTATCCTCGATGAAAAAAAGAGTGGTTTAACATTTATTAAATTGGTGGTTTTCCTTCTAAATATATATATATATTTTGACATACTTATTCGAGGGAAGTGCGTAATAAATGCTGGCGCTCTGTATACGTATAGACTATGACAAGACAGTCGGGGAATTCCTGTGTTAACTGGTTAATTAAAACAATTTCTAAAATAAACTAAATTAATGCTAACTAAGCGTATTTAAAATTTGCCGTCGGGGTTTCCTCTCTCAGATCACACGAATTTTGATGACATCACGATGTTATTTTGTAGAGGGCAGCGAAGAATTTAACACAGTTTGAA